TGAAATGGAAAGTATAAATTACACCAGAGATGGGAGTCCAGCTACAGGGACCCAGGGGGGAGAAGGCACTCAGAGCCCACAAACTATTTAGTGATGGATTCAGCAGAAAGGTGAAAAGTGAGTGGAGTGAAAAGGGAAAGACAGGTATGGCCGGAGAGGAAAAACTGATTTAGGACGGACTGGAGCTGAAGTTGGGATTCTCGTGGCGACGACGAGAAATTTTAGCAGCGGCAATATATAAATATCCCTCTCTCTGCCTACCAAAAGGCAACAGATAAGGACTGGAATATCAGCCTGAATACCAATTTAGGAACTCACGCTCTCTTGGAAGTGCTAATTGGGGATGGGGGGGGGGGGGGAATCTGGGAGAAAGAAGGGAAAAACTATGAGGATCTGAGGAGAAAATCAACCAGTGGCAGAGTACTGCAAACCCAAGAAAGTCTCCCTGCTGTATTTTTGCATTCCAAAGGTAAACATAAAAGAGTCTTTCAAACTGTCAGGGGCCCGCAGATCAGGTGGGCAAACAGCGCTGCAGAGCGAACGTCTCCCTCTTTTGATATTATTCACACCTAGGCTAAACTGTTGTTAAGATGGGAGTGCGGAAAGCAACCTCAAGCCCACAAAATGAGAGAGAGAGAGAGAAGTTGTTGATTCATCTCTGTATTTTTGGCACTTTCTCCCCATTTTCCAGAAGGCGCCTGGAACAGTTAGTAACAGACAAACTTTTTAATTTTAAAATAGCTTCATAACTTATAGAGGCCAAAAAGACGAGGAGAGAGCCTGATTTCGCTTTCCTTCTCTCACAAGTAGAAATTTGCAGGCTAGGTTAGACCCAGAAGCACACTCAGCCCCACTGCAAATGAACCTGGCTTCAGCAGGACGTGATGAAAATGGAGCATTAACGCGATGGCACAGGACAGATATGACCTGGCTCTAGTTCATTTTGTTAACAAGCTGTAAAACTCGACACACTGCTGGAGTCATGCACGCTGCATCCTCTGCCTTTGCTATCCGAGGTGCTATCGCCCCTCTCGAGCCGAGTTCAGGGAAAAGGAGTTATAAGTCAGAACCTCTTGGAATAGTGGACCTGTTCTATGCGATATTTTTGGCAATTCCACTACAATAAAAGGAGTAACCAAGTCCTATTCGGCAAGCAGCAAGCACCTTGAAATAGAACTTCAAAATTATCTAGTAAAGCTTTATCATCAAATTAGCTGGATGAGGGCACAGTAGCTAATTTCCGTGCGTTCTTTCAATTTTAATGAAAGACACTAAAAAAGTGAAATTCAGAGATGAGGGGAAATTGTATGGTTGTGAACACTGAGTTTGTATTCACCTGCATTCGGCTACTTCAAAGTATTCACCTTGCTGCAGTTACCCGGTGTATGGAATTAAAGCAGCAAATAGCTGCCTTTCGAGATACTGCTCTCTCTTTTTTAATCTTTAGTTATAAGAATTCCAGTGATTGGCCACTAATGCTTTCCTTGTAACACATTTAAAAAACCTGCTGCAAGTAAAGGAAATACCTTGACTTTCCCCACAATTAGTGTAGCTTTGGCGCGCAAAAAGATTTTTTAAAAAATTAAAATGAGCTATGTGAGAAAAGAGATGTAAATCAGAACACAAGGACGAATAGCCTCCCTCAGTCTGCAACTCTAGTAATTTGTTGCTGCAAGTTTTTTTTTTCTTCCAAGAAACAGAAAGGAAAAATACAACCCAAGCACTCCTCAAACGCAGCGCCTTATTAACTACGAAGCGGGAACGGGACAAGAGATAATTAAGGCATCAGATAAACCTCACCGCCCACCTAGCTCCAGAGCGGGGGAGCATCCCTGCCCTCCCGAAATGGCAGCGCAGAGAACGGCCCTGGGCTGGGGCAGGACAGGGCAGGGATGCGGCCGCGCTCCCACAAGGAACGCTCTCCAGCTTGTTGCTTCCCCTGCGTGCTCAATTCAGTTTACAGATGTAACTCACGGTGCCGACAGCGGCGACTTCTCGGCGGCACGAAAAGAGGATTCCCTGGGCATTGTATGCAGATGTGCGTGTGTGTGTGAGCGCTGCACGGGGATAATTGTGATTCCCTCTTTGTTTGCATAAGTGAACACCCGCCGTGCGGATCCGGCTCCACGTGCCGAGAAACAAGCAGGCGCTTTCACTTGGAGTGTCACCCCACGTTTAGAAAGCGCCTTTGGAATTACTGCCCTTGCTTTGGCTCCACGGTGCCTAAAGGCAGATGTTGAGGAGGGATGCTGACCTGCTGGGGGGGTCCCTGCTCAGGGAAGGGAGCTCAGGCTCTCAGTCACGTCGGGGCACTTACCTGTGCACAGCTGTCACGGCATTTTGCGCCCTGTGTCTCACTAAATGCGTCAAAGTAAAGCAATATTCAACAAGCGAGGCAACCTGTCTGTGGGCTGAGTTGTACGTACCGCATCTTTAACCTGAGCAGCAAACCTGCAACTCCTGGAGAGTTGGCGGAACAGTCTCAGAAGTTTTGGATTCAAAGGGCAAGAAATTTCACTTTAAAAGTCATTCATCCACTTCTAAACTGCCCTCTCACCCCAGTTAATGCCGGACAATTAAGAGGCATGTTTATAAATTCCCTCAGCGGACACTGTCCGACAATGAAGGCTTGTTACAGGCTTGCTAAGGATGTTCAGAGAAACTTTTGCGAAATAATCAACAGCATCTGAGAGAAAGCTGAAGGTAAAGAAGTTAAAGCCTGATAATCCGATTGGGAAAAAGTTTTGTTAGACTAGACAGAAGTAAATTACTGCACGTTTCTTCAAAAGCAAACCCATCAGCTGATACGAGTTCTCCTAGAACAAGAACCTCTGGCGAACTCCTCCAAATTTAGGGGACGTTTGCATTTTGTAACACTCAAAGCTTAAAGATCTGCCTGAAAACAAAAACTCTGAATTCCTTACAGCGTCATCTGCCAACAAAATGTATTGTCTTGGCAGAAAGAGTATCAAGGAGATTTTAATTTCATTTTAAACTGTGCATCATCTTGATAGCGAAGGAAAAAGCTGCAGCAACAATCTCCCCGCTCCACGCCCCCGCCGTTCAAAAAAAAAAAAAAAAAAAAAAAAAAAAAAAAAGAGGGGGGGGGAAGAGAGAGAACTGGAAAAACCACATAAACTTTTACAAAGAAAATAAAAGCAAGTTCGACATGAAAACCCCTTCCTGTCTCGGAAAGTTCATTTTAAAGGTCCCCTCTGTAAATCTAAAGTGCAAACACCAGGCTAAGGTAGTGAGTGGCTGGAATTTGCATGCTGATAAGAGAAGGCTGTTGTACTTACAGTGACAGAGGGCAGGCTGCGGAAGAAAAGCTGTTTGTGTTAGCCTGAGAGTCACCCAGGGCTGCAATGAGAGGAGAAGAGAGGAGTGGGAGTGCCAAGCTGGATACACCTTCACCGCATCTCATCACATCTGCCAGCCTCTCTCTCCCTCTCTCTTTCATTTCCACATTCCCTTTGTTCCTGAAAAAAAAAAAAAAATCTACACGTCACATCAGTCCCCAGATGCAGTCTACACCAAAGAAAAAAAAATGAATAATTCAATCAAACTGTGCATAGTCTCTAAGGCAATAAATCTATTGCACTTAAAGAAACGAAGGGTAATTACCGCTATAGAATTAGAATAAGGCCAGAGCGCGCAGGGATCCCAGGGTCTGTAAACTCCACGGTCAAATAAAGTTTCATTTATTTAATCCTTTGACAACCCCAATGTAAACTAAAGGGGAGGATCAGAACTTATTCCGGTTGGGTCTGAGAATGCTTGAAGTGAATGTTATAAAAGGAGAGCGCCCGTGGTCTGTGACAAACACAATGCCAGGGAGTAGAAGTGTTTCACTGCATCACCTCCAGGGTCCGTTCCCCCCTCCCTAATGAAGAGCAGACCACACTCCCACTTCCACCGGCTCCTGCTGCTCGCTGCAAGTGCAGCGGGGATCGCTGGCAGCCGGCAGCCGCCTTACCTGCTGCCGAGCGCCAGCACAGCCCGACAAACAACTCGGGGGAAGCGGCAATTTTGTTCCACGCTCTGGCGGAGAGAAGCCTCGGGGGATTTGCACCGGCAAGGATTGCCTCGGAAGGGTGGCCCTGAGTGGCGGATGTGTGCGGGGCTGAGGCGGGGGACTGGCGGCCGGGGGCGGGGGGAGCCCGGCGGGAGCGGAGCCCGGCGGGGCGGGCGGGGACGGAGCGGCCGGCGGGGAGGGAGGGAGGGAGGCAGGAGCCGCGCTGCTCCCGCTGCTGCCTCGCAGGCTGCTCGCTCGGCTCCGAGGTAAGATGACTCTACGATTGTGTTTTGTCCCCCCCCTCCCCACGGGTACCCCGGGTGCCAGGGGCGCGCTGCTGCGCTAACGAGGGCGGCGGCGGCTCGGGGCTGTGGCTCAGCTCCGTGCGCCCGAACCGAGCCGGAGCTTAACATCGGCATCTGCTGCTTTACACTCTCCATCACGTTCTTTGCAAACTTCTCCTGGGGGAGGGGGCTGGGGGAGGAGTGAGACGGAGAGGGGGAGGGGGAAACTAACCCCAGGTGAGACCGCGCTCTTCAGATGCCGCAGACCCTCGCTCCGATGCCGCCGGGCTGTGCGCCGACCGGGGATGCTGAAACACCTTCGGCCGGCGCGGAGCATCGCGCACCTCCCGTCCCTGCGCCGCCGTAGCGGCGCTTTGACCGATCCGAGCCATTACCGGGACCGTAATTCGGGAGCGGGCTCCCGGAGCTCGCTCCCGGGCCGGTCCGTGTGCTTACCGCGCCACCGTGAGGCGGCCACGGGCCCCGCACCGAGCGCTCGCCGCGCTCCCGGGCCGGCCGAACGCGCCGCGGCCGCGGGCACCCCGGGCAGGGCGGAGCGGGACGCTCAGGGCTCCCGGGGCTCCGGGACGGCGCTGCCCGCTCTCACGGGCCGGAGAAAGACGCGGGGGATTTAAGGAGAGTTGAGGAGATGGGAATACACAAAGCGAAAGCGCCGCGCCGGTGTTTTCCTTAAGCCCCTTGCTCCCTCCTTCGCCTGTGTCGCCGTCGCTGGGCGCTCCCCAGAGGGTCGGGGTGAGCAGGGCAGAGCTCAGCCCGGCCCGCTCCGCTCTCTGTAAATCCCCTCCGACCCCGCTGCTGGAAGGCAGCGTCCCCTCGGAGTGTGTGCCAGGCAGCGCTGCTGGCTCCTCTGCCCATCCTCTTTCCGCCTTCTTCCCCGGCCAAAATCAGGCTAGTTGCACTGCCCGGGCTTTCCTGGAAGGTTTGCTTTCTCAAGTCTTTTAGCTGATTTCAAGTTTGAGGCTGGGGTTTTGGTTATATTTATATTAATGGAAGGGGAATGGGAAAAAAAGAAAAGAAGAAAGACTAGGCTGTCACCATCCATGGACAGTACCTGGGGTGACACTGCTAAAAGTTGTGGACAAGGCTCAGCACGATGAGTTTCTCATCGTGCACATGAAAGCTGTGGAAATGGATCTACTGCAGAAGACAGATCCATTTATGTAGAGGCACAACACATCACTTAGCTCTCACGGAAAGCTTTAACCCAGAAGGGGGTTCCTCTCAGGAAGCTTTTAGCAGCTGGTGGAAAGCATCCCAGCTACTGGAAAGCATCCATCATGTCAGGGCATCCTGGCACCCAGAAAAGCACTGACTGCACTGGCAAGGTTGAAGTCCCTTAACTCCTACCTACTAGTTGCACTTGGCAGAGTAAGCTCTGCACGTGAACCATGAGAACTCTAATAAACAAGCTCCAAAAAATGGCAATTACATTCAGCTGTGATTAGGAATCACCTTAAGATTGGATACCTGATGTTTTTCATGCATAGAGTAAAAGTAGAAAAAGAGTAGCGTGACTGTGGAAGGTGCAAATATTTCCACTGAAATGTATCTGCTCCTCCTAATCTGGGAATTTCACCTAATAGCTGGATTTGCCTGTTTGCCATCTTAATCCTTTTTCACCTCCCATCTCTGTACAACGGGATGACCACACAGCACCGCTAACATCCAAAAACGCAGCTCCAGATTAACGGTGATTTTAAATGCACTTTTCCAGAAAGCCACGCCAGAGACTTGTTTAAAGCAATCATCACATTCTAAGGCATCTCTCCCTTGAGCAGGCACCTGTGTAGCCTCACATATTACACCCATTTCCCCAGCTTCAGCTGGGAATAGCAGAGCTTGTCTCGGGAATGAGGGGGGACAGGAACATCTGTGTCAGGTAGAGCTGTACCTGCATTTGAGGGGCTTGGGCTACAGGACCCCCTTACAGCCCACCGCAGCTCTATTTTCTATTCCAGCCCGGGGTAAGCTCTAGGGCAGTGGTGTAAACATGAAAGCTGTTGAGGATCTGCCCCTAGAATCTCAGTGACAGAAAAGCCCTTGCTAAAACACGACGACTGCAAACCCCTCTCAGCACAGCACGGTGATTTTATTTTCTCACTGGCAATGTCCCATTCTGACAGCACATGCTGGAATTCAACAGAGCATGCATAGGCTTTCTATTGTAACACTGCAATTATTCCATCGGTTTATTTTTGTTTCATACACCCATTCCCTCAAATAAAAAACAACCCCACCAGCAAAGCACAATTTTTAAAGTCCCTGACTGAACTATTGTGCTGCAAACGTATACTGAGTAAAAAAAAAAATAATAATAAAAAATCCAAACAAACTAACAAAAAGACTCAAAACCAAACAAAAATATCAAAAAACAACCCTGAAGGTTAGAATAAATAAACAAAGTTGTCTTTGACCTGGAGACTGGCCCACACTGCAAATAAATGTATAACCACTTAGCCACATATACATGCCATATGAACAGAAATAAAAGGAATCCTCAAGATAGGCCAATGATTTTGTATTTTATATTAGTACCACTGTGCACTTATAAACAGCATTGGTTTCAAGATTTTTTTTTGGATTTGTGACTATATGGCCTAATCTTGTAGGCTCATGCCACTGCCAGTTGTTTCATCCAGGAGCTCAAGTCCTGTGCATCTGAAGTGCATGTTTAAAAAGAGACTTAAAATGATGATGCTGGAAAGGATTAACAATTTAGAAAATACCAAGACAAGAGGTTAAAATGTCTACAAAGATATTTTGGGGCATGGAGTTGTTTCAAGCTATCCAATTTTTATTTGGAGCTTGTAAATACCATGACATAACCCACATGGGCACTATGGCCATGTCCTCCCTCCTCTCCTCTTCAGTCACTTCACATTTTCTTACCCAAATACTCAGTAGTAACTTCTTGCAACAAAGTTGACTAAGAAGCAAATCACTGTATAAATCTTTCAAAACAAGTTTAAATATAGCTTAGTAAACCGGGAATGTTGGGCAGAAACTGCTGAAAGCATTCGTGCTGGTAAAACTGAAATGCGACTCAATGATCTCAACGCACTCGAACGTTCAATTCGATGGAACGTTTGTCCAGTGTAATGTCAGATTTAAGACTGAAGCCAAGGAAATGTGATTGGACTGGTTTGGAATCTTCCTAAGACAAATGACTGAAAGATCAGGGTGTTTTATTTCCTATTTGGATCAATGATCAATAAGTCTTATACATGAGAATCACGCATTTTGAATAGAAAACACACTTTTTTAATAAGTGCGAGTTCGGCTGAATAATATTACTATGTTTGGAGAGAAAAGCTCAGTATTTTTTAAGTCATTGCAATCTATATAATTATGAAGTAACTTGAATAAGGCATCTTACATTGGTCCTAAATTTTTTACTCAAGTAAAACACTCATTGATTCCAACGTGAGTGTTGCCTGAGTAATAGAGCTCCCTGTCAAACTGTTAAAATCAGCTAACTTCTAAAAGCCTGCAGATTGATGAAATAACGTGGTTATACCAAAGGTATGTATTTAATATGGAAAAAAAAAATAATTCAAGTTACCAGGCAAAGCCTTTTCACATTTTACATTTACAATAAAACCTTTACAATGTAAGTAAATATTATTAGGGTGTTTATAACTCCGTGCCTGCTCATGAAGACACTTAAGCTTTTGATTTTATTTATGTAAGTCATGTCAGTGAAGCAGTACTCTCATGTCACAAGCATTTGAGGTTTAGCATCTAGGACAATAGAAATAAATTGGCTTGAAATATTCCACTAGCAAAACAAGACTGCTTTTTGCCGTGGATTGCACTGTAAGAGTTATTTTGGAATGTTGTGTTTAAAAGTTTGTGAGTGATGATATACATTCTCTTTGTTTTGAGTGAATAAGCCCTTCGTCAACAGAACATAGCAGAGTCAGATTTTAAAAAGGTTCTCACAGAAAGACAGAATTCCTTCACCAAAAACCGACACCAGACAAACGAAAAATACCGACATACACCTTTTTCTGATTTTTTTTTTTTTAAATCAAGTATTAACAGTTTGATTCTAATAAGAATATCAAGTAAATAAATGTTAGCTCTACTCAGTGCTATTAGCATAGTTGAAATAGTAGTTTATAAATTTTTGAGAGCATCAGCATCATAATATGGTTGTCATAGAAACTGCAACAATATGTCATTTCAATTAATTTTACATGCAGTGATGCTGAGGTCCATTTAAAAATTCTTTTAGGAAGTTCTAGTAGTAAATATTGAATAGCAGGAATAAAAACATTAATAGCTAATGGTACCCTTAAATTATTATTTAATTAACAAAACAGGGAAAAATCTAAATTATTCTAAAATAATGACTGTGCTGGAGGAATTAGTTAAGCAGACTTTGACTTCAAACGCCAAAACTAAAAGACCAAAGCTATGGAAACATTCAAACTCCAAGTGAAAAAAGTATCTTTTCCCAAATGGAGCAGATTTGGGGAAAAAAAAAAAAAAAAAAGAAACGTAAAAAAGATTTATTCCTGTCCACGAAATATAAAACATGAAATAGTTTTAAATCATAAATGTTCCCTTTGTGTGTGCAAAAAGCAAAAAGTCAAATGTTACAAATCCAGGACCATAATACAAGATTTTTAAAAAAGCTTTAAAGGTAGGAAATGTAACATGAATAGATTTATTTTTCCTGTATAATGCAGCTACTGTGTGTTATGAATGCTACCTTAAGTAAATCATTGCCAGACACACTCAACTGACATTAATGACTTGATTATTAGAACAGAAAAGCTAACCAAAATAAAGGCAGTGTTTCTAAAAAAATAATAATTGCATTGTAGCAGTGTGAACTTTTTATTTATTATTTTTTATGTTATGTATGAACATGCACTCCTGTTTTCTTACTGCATATGCATGATACAATACCTGACCTGATAGTTTGTATATGAAAGAAAATACTGAGCAGATCGTAATGAGAAAAAAATTGAGATTTTCAACACATTTTATACAGCAATCAATAATTCCATAGCATATTTTGTTTAAATTTACTGAGTTGACACATAGACTAGAATGTGCAAGACCTTTCAAACTGAGATGTAAAACAAGCTGTTTGTAAGCAAATAAAAACTGTCGATATAAAAAAA